GCCTGCCGATGTAGTCTCGCTGCGGTCTTTCCTTGGGCTCATAGGCTATTACTCTCATTTTCTCCCCAATTATGCAGAGGTGGTGGAGCCGCTGCGACGGCTTCTTCGTAAAGGACAGAAGTTCGTGTGGGACCAGAGCACCGAGGAGAGTTTTTGCAGGGTCAAGAAGATGCTGTCGTCATGTGGGGTGGTGGCCATGTTCAACGAGTCTTTGCCTGTACAAGTGACCACTGACGCCTCGGCATATGGACTGGGAGCTGTGCTACAGCAGGTAGTCGACGGAGAAGTACGTACAGTGGCATTCGCTTCGAGGACACTAACGCCACCAGAACGCAAGTACTCTACCGGGGAACGAGAGGCGCTGGCATGTTTATGGGCGTGCGAACATTGGCATGTTTATCTGTGGGGCCGCAAGTTTGTCTTACGAACTGACCATCAGGCTTTGGTGACACTGCTGTCCACAAATGGGGTTGGAAGACGGCCACTGCGTATTGAACGCTGGTCTGCTAGACTTCTGAGATACAACTTCACGGTGCAGTACACAAAGGGGAGCACCAATGTCGTTGCGGATGCGCTTTCTAGGCTACCGTTGACCCCTGCAGAGGACGACCCTGTGGAGGAAGTAGTTGCTGTGGTTTCCAGCATGATCACAAAGAGTGAGTTGCAAGCAGCGACAGCTGAGGATTCAGTGTTAAATGAGGTGGCACAGTATGTTATGTCCAGATGGCCGGAAAAGGGCTGTTTAGCTGAAAACATAAAATTGTTTTTTCGTATGCAAGAAGAACTGTCGGTTATAGACGGACTATTGTTTCGCGCTGAACGGGTCGTTCCCCCAGCAGCACTTGCTTCCAGGCTGGTCATGATGGCACACGAATCGCATCCAGGCATTGTAAGGACCAAACAACGGTTGAGGGAACAGTACTGGTGGCCCGGAATGGACAGTGATGTTGAATCTTTGGTTAGGAATTGTGCTGTCTGCAAAGCATCAGATAAATCTGCAAAAACTGTAAGGGCCCCGTTGGAGCCAGTGCAGTGGCCCGAGAAGCCGTGGGAAAAGCTTGGAATTGACATCGTTGGGCCGATGGAACGAGCCCCTCCAGAGTGCAGGTTTGCAATCACTATTATTGATTACCACAGCAAGTGGCCTGAGGTGGCATTTGTGTCCACAATAACTGCACAGGCAGTAGTGAAAGTACTCGTGGAAATTTTTTCGAGAGAAGGGTACCCGAAAAGCATTGTGACTGACAATGGGCGTCAGTTCATGTCGACATGTTTTGAGCAGTTTTTACGAGACCGGGGAATTCAGCACTGTGTTACAACATTGTACTACCCGCAATGCAATGGGCAAATTGAGCGGTTCAACCGCGTTCTCAAGGAGTATATGCAGGTTGCGGCATTGGAGCGAAGACCACTGAAGGAGGCAATTTGGGACTACCTGGGTGTTTATAGGGCCACCCCGCATGCAACTACAGGAGCGTCGCCGGCTTACCTGCTGCATGGAAGAAAACCCAGAACGAGATTGGATGTTGTTGGCCTCCCAGAAAGGGAATTTTTTGAGGAGCCGCGTGTCGTCATGGAAAAGTTGAAACAGCGCGTTAAGGAGCAGCAACAACGAACAAAAAAGTACGTCGATGAAAAACGAGGTGCCAGAGCGTCTGTCATTGAGCCAGGAGATTTCGTAAAAGTAAAACAAGGCGGACCGAAGACGAAACACAAGTTTTCTTGGCCGATCCAGGTGAAGAGACGTGTGGGCACGAATTCATTTCTACTGGCAAACGGGACGAAATGGAACGCATCAAAGTTAACAGTAATTAGTAAAGGAAGGACAGGACAGGCACAAGCACTAGCTGACGCGGTTACAGCGCGACGCAATGCATCTTCGGGGTTTTCCTACGACATGGATCTTCACATAGGAAAGATGGCTCAGCCACAAAACCCTATAGTCGTGAATGAATCGGAAGTGGGTCCATCAGAAGACACCCAGGGAAGCGCTAACCATTCTGACAGTGCACAAACCACGGTAACGGAGCCCATATTAGAGGTTCCCGATCAGCAGGACACATCTCGGTCGCAGTTGGCCACAGCCACAGCACCATCACGCACCAGGCCGGAACGAACAAGAAGAATGCCAACACGGTATCAAGACTACGAGCTGACCTGACTACAAGAACATCAAGTGTGGTGAAGTGAACGTGTGCTGTGAAGTGAGTGCGCGAAAGTAGACTGACTTTAGTTGTGTTGTTAATTTTTATGAGGGGGGAATGTGTTGTGTAGTGTATAGGGGGCGCTGTCAATGCTATCATCTGTATATAAGCGATTGCCATCAAAATAAAGGCGGTGGTTCCCCGTCCATGGATCGGTCCGACTTATCACTCGGCGCTTCGCGATACGGTGATATCACAATACTAAACAAATTGAGAAAGTTACACTCAGGATAATAAAAATGTATGGACATACACAAATCTAATTAGACTGTTTGGGCTAGAGCTTGCTAAGGCACGTGACAAGTCACCCCGGAAAAGAAGACACAAGCCCAAGAGTTGGTGGGATGAGGAAGTTAAGAGAGCCATAGCAAAACGTCAGGAAGCCTCTAGGGAACACAGACATGCTAAGCAGCGGGGTGAACCGACAGATGATGTTGAAAGAAAATGGGAAACCTTTCTAAGCTGTAGAAGGGATGCATTCCTTCTGATCAATAAAAAGATTAGAAGAAAGGGAGCTCAGTGGCTGGCAGAAGTACATAAAAAAGATAGAAAGGCAGCTGCGAAATTTTGGAACCATCTAAACTCCCTAAGAAATGAGACGAGCCTAGAGCAGAGTTTTATAACTACAGCCCAAGGTGCTAGGCTAGAAGGGGACGAAGCTATTGAATATATAAGAACAAGGGTGACAGAAAAATTTCAACAAAGAAGTACTCCATGCACCACAATAGACAAGGACGAATCAAGTGGTGCAATGGCTCCATTTTCACAACGAGAGTGGGAAAGGGCTGAGAAAAGGGTTCCTAGTAGTACATCAACAAACCCAGATGGCATTCCAATTAGGCTGATAAAGACATTAGGTCGGAAGTTTAAGCAGGCTTTGAGAGAGGCAGTGAGCAAAATAATAATCGATGGTGAAGTTCCCGATGGATGGAAACTTAGCAGGATGAGCATGATCTATAAAGGAAAGGGGGACAAGGCTGACATAAACAACTACCGTCCTATAACAGTGACATCAGTGGTCTACAGGCTGGCTATGCATATTATAAAGGAAAGACTGCAGGCATAGATAGAGGATGAAGGGGTGCTGGGGGAACTGCAGAATGGGTTTCGGAAACACAGGAGGTTGGAAGACAATCTGTTCTCACGGACGCAGTCCATCGAAATAGCAGAAAAGGAACACAGGCCCTGTGGCTAGCATTTTTGGATATCAAGGCAGCGTACGATAGCGTGGTTCAAAAGGAATTGTGGGGAATACTGGACACACTAGGTGTGGAACATGTAGACATTAATCTTTTAAAGGGTATCTATAAAGGTAAGAAGGTAGTTATAAAGTGGGAAAAACAGGTATCCAAGCCTGCAGAGGTAAAACGGGGGCTTAGGCAGGGGTGCCCCCTGTCACCCTTATTATTCATGATGTACCTACAAGGATTAGATGCAAAATTAGAGGGAAGTGGACTGGGCTTCAACCTCTCTTTAGTCAAACAAGGAAAACTCATTGAACAGGCACTACCAGCATTAATGTACGCAGATGATATAGTGGTAATGGCTAACAACAAGGAAGATTTGCAGAGATTGATGGACATCTGCGGTAATGAGGGAGATAGGTTAGATTTTAGATTCAGCAAGGAAAAATCAGCAGTCATGATTTTCAATGACAACGAAGGTAGTGAGCTTAGGATACAGGAGGGCACGCTAGAGATAACAGATAAAGACAAATATCTGGCGTATGGATAAACAATGAGACCGAGTACCTAAGGGAACACGAAATATACGTGATGACTAAAGGTAAGAGGAATGCAGCTGTGATGAAAAATAGGGCACTGTGGAATTACAATAGGTATGATGTTGTGAGAGGAATATGGAAGGGGGTCATGGTTCCTGGGCTGACGTTCGGCAATGCGGTCTTGTGCATGAGATCAGAAGTTCAAGCAAGATTAGAAATTAAACAACGTGGAATAGGTAGGCTTGCTTTAGGAGCTCACGGAAATACGCCAAATCAGGGAGTACAAGGTGATATGGGATGGACATCATTTGAGGGCAGGGAAGCTAGCAGCAAGATAAAATTTGAGAAGCGATTGAGAGAAATGAAGGAGGAGCGTTGGGCTAGGAAGGTTTTCAGCTACTTGTACATGAAGAATGTCGACACAAAATGGAGGAAGCGAACCAGAAAGTTGACTGGTAAATACTTAGAAAACAGCAGGTGGCCAAAGCAAAAAGAACTATCGGTTAAGAAGAAAGTGATGGAAACGGAGACTGACATGTGGAAAATGGGCATGATTAAGAAGTCCGCACTAGAGATCTATCAAACTTTTAAACAGGAAATTGCCAAGGAAAGGATCTATGATAATACTCGGGGTAGTTCTCTGCTGTTTGAGGCAAGGACGGGAGTACTGCGAACCAAGACATATCGGGCCAAATACGAAGGGGTAGACACAGTATGCAGTGCGTGTGGAGAGGGAGAAGAAACTGCCGAACACTTGATAATGTTCTGTAAAGGGCTTCACCCTATAGTTCAGGATGATGGCGCAGAGTTTTTCAAAACACTAGGGTTTAGGGACCGTGAGGGCAAAATACACTTTAAGCAAGTAGACTTAACTAGAAGGAGGTTATCTGATTGGTGGCTAAAGTCAAGGCACGAGTGAAAATTAAACTCTACACTGCAAAGTATGAATCCTCAAACTCAGTTTTTAAGGAAAAATAAATAAATATAGTTTTGGGTTCATTAAGTAATACGGCTTGGTGACGCTAGCCGCCGCCCGATCTATAGGGTACAGCCATATCCATCCATCCATCCATCCTTCTTTCTTTTCCTCACGAACCACTAACCAGTGGGCATTACCGCTGTTTTGGATTTGTGGCGCGTTGTTAGTCAGCATAGCGTTGCGTCGGTAGCCACTACACGTAAACTCTGCCGCCGTTTTTGTGCGGATAACAGCTGACATGGCGACGAAGACACTGGAAGAAAGGAGGAAGGCGTATTTTGCTTACGTGAGATACGTGCAGTCCATCGCGGTACTCCGACAGTCGAAGGCGAAAGCGCGGAACGCCAAGAAAGAAAAAGAGGTTTGTCCGAGTGTGCACCTTTTCATTTACCTTACCGTGACTTGCATGTTCTCTTGTGGCCTTGCAGACCTAGCTGTCGTGGTCGCTTGACTGACTTGGTACAAGCAGGTAACCCATGAATCGTGTGCTTCCTTTCGAGATAAAAGAAAAGTCTATTTCAAGCTAGACTATTGAACTGGAAATCTTTCCAACCAGAACGGCTCCTGGTTTGATAATTCAGCTAGCGCATTGTAACTCGGCCCAAAACGAATGAATTTGCAACTGGAATATGTCCGAATTACAGCTGGAAACTGACAAATTTCGTGTGGATATTCATCCACTTCGAACTGAATTGTCGAACCGCAAGTCTATCTAGCATGAAAATGTCTTGGTTTCTAAACCAGCTGGAAATATTACTTTTCTTCATGTGCATGTTATTTGACCGCCGGGCAACTCGGTCGAAGAAACAAAACCGATGGCTCCAATCGGCCATGCTCTGTGTTTGCAATGAACCGCCCACCAAATGAACCAGAAACCTTTAGGATGGTGACAGTTGAATCGGATAGCCATACTACTAGGGATATATTTTTTTTTGTTTTTGCCTCCCAATGGAGCACTTGATTACAATTAGAAGCCACTTGGAATTTCACTATGGTTACATATCCAGTTGCCCTGGCGCGGTGGTCTAGTCGGCGCGGTGGTCTCGGCCGCGGCGGCTGCATTTTCGATGGAGTCAAAAATGCTGTAGGCTGGTGTGCTCAGATTTGGATCCACGTTAAAACACCCCAGGTGGTCGAAAATTCTGGAGCCCTCTACTACGGCGTCTCTCATAATCATATGGTGGTTTTGGGGCATTAAACCCCATATATAAATCAATCATCTACAGATCCAGTTGGTATAGTAAGCGTATCAAATTGGCATTGTTTAGTATGTACTGATGGGCTAGTTTAAGAGCCATGATTTTCGTAGAAGCAAAGAACAAAAGGAAATGAAGTGCGCACTCATAAAAATACTCTAAGACAAGCATTGTTACATTGTTATTTAACAAGCTTGTGGTAGGTCCGTTCTAATAGCTCCTTCTTGCGTGCTCAACTCGTATTGACTGTTCAGTTCCATTCTCGTTGTCTCTCCCTATTTTGAAATGTATATGCGGTCATAAACTGTTAATGGCTGAATACACATGAAGGGGATAGTTAAGTACCCTGGCTGGTTTTAGTCACGACTATTCGCTTTCAGCTGAAAGTTTAAAAAAAAATGAGCAAAGCTGTGAAACGCAAATTCTGGTGTCTTTTCATGTACAATATCTATGTGCTTTGGCATGGTCAGTGTAAACTAGAAATAATTGCATTGCAATATAGAATGTGCAATAAACATTACCTGTTCACTGTGAGAACCTGGCTCTGCTTACTTGGCCAGAATGTGAAGACTTGGTGAACACAACTACATTTTGTAAAACTAGAGTGACCTCTGGCATGCATTTCATTTTCTTCATTATATATATATGTGTGTGTGTGTGTGCGCGTAATATTGTTTAATGTCAGCTAATGCAGTCAGATAACATTATTTCAGACAATCATTACATGACAAAAGTGGCACATCAGATCACAGTGTAAGGATAAGTTAGGCGCTGACACTCGCCGCTCTGCGTCGGAAGAGGGCACGTGCAGATTGTGTTTGCCATTTACGCTGAGCCGCGAGTAGTTTCTGTCACATTAGTTGAGATGGTGCTACTGTATGGGGCACCAGGAATTCGCGTGCCGCTTGTTCTGAAATTCAAGCGCAAAAGAACATCTTCCTGAAAGCTTTGTGTGCATGGGATTTTGTGATTTAGAAACGCGTTGCCCTGTGCCTGTAAGCCCTGCCAGTGCATTTGTTTTGCTGATTCGCGCTTTGAGATTTCGTGCACATATACCTTGACGCTACACGACTCTGACAACGTGTCAGCAGGCTTGTCGCTGGCTGCGCCTCAAAATGGGCAAGTGGCGTTTTGTACCAAATTGCAAGTCAGGGTATCAGACTTGTATGAAACATGTGTCGCTTTTCAAGGCTCTTCGCGAACCAGAGCGCTTGGATAAGTGCCGATGGGCAACTGCCTACCGACCATGTGTGCGCGAAGCACTTCTTGGAAAAGGCAATTTCTGCGACATATCATACAGAATACAAGAGAAACGTCCTGTTGCATGCATCAAAAAAATTCCTATGCTCACTCCGGATGATGTGCTTGGCATTTTCCCAGGCTGCCCAGAGTATCTGACTGTGCAGCAAAAAACCAGGAAAGCACTGCCAAAATTGGTGGCTCTGCTGCCGAGTTCTCAGATGCGATGGGGGCCAAAAGGCTCAACTGTACCTGAAGTGCCTGATACGACCGCTGAAAGTACGCCAAGTTTGCTGTACCTAGAGGCAGCTACTCCACAACATGGCGATGATGAATCAACAGGCACGCATGCAAAAGGCAGTGCTTTGACTTTAGCAGGGACAGGCCTTCTTCAGGATGCTTCTCAACATGACATTGATAGTGTGGGCCTATGCGCTACCTACTCAGTTCCTCATCACGCTGGAAAAGTAACTTCTTGCTTTAAATTCAGATGCCACTTTTTGAGCTGTCTCATCGATGCCTATTGGAACCAAGTAAAATAAATGTTGTAGAATAACCAGTAAACAGAAATTATTGTACATACTGTATCTGTGATGCAGCCACGTTTTTTTTGTTTTTTCACGTGGCCATATTCACGTTATTATATTTAGTTTGCCATGCTTGGTGTCAAGCCGGATTTTTTCATTTTTGGATGTCTCTGGGATGATCACCGTCTTGCCACATTGCAGGCTTACTTCTGACCTGTGTACTTGCGACACAACAACAATTAATAATGCAAAGGCCTTAAAAAGCCTTGAATGTTTCATGAAACACCAAATATGATTGTCGGCGTCCCACTTCGACAGCATAAGGGGTGATCTGCAGAAAATACACTGCTTTGGGTAGGGCGCTCACTTTCTCTGTCTTATAAGCACTTCATCGAGTTGAAGTCCGCCCGACCGAACCCTTTCAGCCCTGGATTTTATATTGGTCGGATACATTTGTTGTGCGTGTTTTTCTTGTAGTTAGAACCTCAGAAGGCCACCAGCAGAATATTGAGTCAGTGGTGCAAGCATTTTTTATTAAATAACGTGGCGTTAATTTTAAGTTAGGTCATCAGGACTCAGTGATTAGGAAATGAGAAAAATGGCTCCTTTATAATGATAATAGTGTACACAAAATGGGAACCAATGTCTTACTTGTCAGCCAAATACTCACTGAAACAGCTATGGTACGTCCTCCCGAAAATGGCCCTTAGTCGCCTTGCCTTCAGCGCCTCCGCTTCACTGAAGACCTCGGTTGCGCTTCTTCTTTGTGGCTGCTACCTCAACAAACGTCCTGCAGTATTGATGTCAATTGCAGTGGGGATCATTGAAGAACTATACCCCCAAAAATGAGCGGTATTGGCTACACTTCCGAGATACTAGAGGAAGTGTTATTCAGTGGTGTCGATTGACACCGCCAGGGCCGTAAGAGCGTAATAAAATATCGCAAAGTATGTCTGATTGCACTGGCCTGACAATCCTGATACAGGTGTGGTACTGGTTAACCCAGCATCGACCTTTGGAACCCAATGTTCTTCCCACCATACCACGCTGCTTACACTGCCAGAGACTGAAATGGACGCATCTACATGAAGCTATAAGCAAGACTGGCAATGGTAGTGTGTTGATTTAAGTTATTTAAAGAATGTGTGTCAGTTTTGAGCTACATTAGTTAAAAGTTCTCTGACGAAGTATTTCGTTCATTTTGCTAGGCAACCAGAATGCAATAGCGATACTATTCACACGCACGCACACACGCAGGTGTACATGCACTCACATGCATAAACACACAACGATTGTCGCTTTCCTAATAGCTGGGGGTGGCTTTGCGCTCAGGCTGGTATCTTTATTGCAAACGTCGAAAGTTTTCTCTCGCCAAAAACGCTGCCTTTTTGTTCTGGAACCAAAGATGCGGACGCCGTCGACACCAGAATTTCTGCGAAACTCTTTAGTGCTGTCGCGCCAAAACGCCACCGTTCTTCATGCCAACAATTGTTGCTATCGGTGCATTCATATGGCAAAATAACTGTTAGCAAATAAGCTGCATATAAAATTAGGAAATCAGTTTCGTTGCAGTAGAATCCCAATGTATTAGTATATTGACATCCATGAACATGTGTAGATTCCAGTGTTATAATCAAGCAAGGTTCCGGAGCAATAATCACCCACACACGTATCAAAGTGTCTCCCCAATGAGCTTCTTGACTCAACCTCTGTGTGTGCCATCTGTCGCATAAAACGGGAACAGCCCAGGCAGCGAACACAATCTGGACGTGGCGCAGGCTGATGTTTTATCACAGAACTTGTTCTTTTATCATGCCCCAGGTTAATAAAAAGTTCTGAATGATTCTGCCGTTAGCAGGCTGTATCGGCAAAGGCTTCTGCGGCCAATGTAGTCTAGCAGTTGGTTTTTGTGCTTGTAATCTTTCTTCTTTTTCCTTGCTATCACTGCCCTACTTTTTTTGTGAACGTGCATGCTTTTGTCGGTAACTGTGCTTCAGCGGAAACATTAAATTTCAGCAGAACAAAATTTGATATGAACCTAGTCTGTGAAAGAAAAAAAAAAGCCTCATTTTTTTTTGTCTTTCCTATCTCGCAGAAATGGAAAGATGAACAAATGAGCGAAAAAAAAAGCAGCATTGTTACTAGTCCCGCTGTTTTGTTCTTTGTCTCTAAGTGCTGCTTTCAATAACAATGCGCACAGTACCTGCTAAAGTCTTCGACGTATCGCTTTGAGCAGCGTTTGTACAATTTGCATTGCAGGCCATGATTCAGAAATTCATCGAAATGGTGCGCGACACTCTGAAGCAGGCGAAGGAGCAGATATGGCGAAGAGCTTGCTTCAAGAAGCTCATCGCCCATAAAGATGATTTGGAAAACATGGTATGTAGCTTCTCCTTTCTGAATTACATAGCACTGGTTAGCCCCTTAGGCCTTAAAAGCATAATTGCAATGCCACGGTACAATTTAAAACAATGCCTTCAACAGCCCATAACTGAGCTGACAACCTCTCTCTTACAGGGTGATTCACAGCATTTACTTGATTATTAAAAATACTTTGACAGCCTGAAGGCATTGTGGAAAGTGATTGGAAAATAAATAGTAATACATGCAGTGGAAATTTAGAAAAACAAAAAGTATTTTGTGAGACAATCTTGACCGCATTCGCATCTCTTGTGCCAACATAAGTGGCGGCATGGCAGTTTGTGGTGATTCTTGTGCTAGGAATGAAAGAGTCGCCACGTAATTCTGTGTGACAATATGGTAGGGACACCTCGATTTAATGATAAGTCCTTATTGATGTCTAATGAAGAGGATAAAATAAGGCTTTCTTCAAATTGTCAATATAATAAAGTTTAGACATATACCTTTATTCAAAAAAGCTTTGGAGTTAAAAAGGTATTGACATGAGTAGGATCTTGCATGGTGTATGTGGATACTGCGAATCACAATGTAGCAAGGTTTTGTAGAGTGCGGACTCCAGAGACAATGGCACAGTGAAAAAGCCTCCAGGCGTTCGCGGAACACGAAGCACAGTCGCAGCTAACGTTGGAAGAGTGGCCTTCTTAGAGCCAGGTCTAAGGACAAGCAACTCATGTAAGGCACCCACCACTTCTTGAATCATCATAAACTTCATCCAGTGAGGAAGCATCTACTATGCAATTAGCCATCATTCAGCGGAAAAGCGTGGTACCCACTACCCATCTTTTAGGCATTGCTGTGTGTGCTTTGTGCTGTGGCTGATGAAAAACTGGGCTTCTTTCATAATGTGTTGGAAGCAATCAATGACGTACTCATCCTGTTGTTTGCATCTGCTATGACATTATATTACATATGTCAACCTGCTTGCTTGCCCGACATCACACTTGTAGAGGGCGTTATTGCGAAGCAGATTGAAGCATCAGTGTTTCTCTGTGGTGGAAAAACTTGAGGACTTTAAACTTCGCCTTTAATAAGAGTTCAACGCGATAGTGATATGCTGTCCCTGGTGCATACTTCAACCCCTTGGTGCATACTTTTATTTTAATATGTTACTTGACAGGTTTGAATTGCGAAATTACTAGAAGGGTAATCTACCCATAAAATTGAAAGTGGCTTGCGTCAATGGAGCTTTTGCATATGGCTACATATTGCGTAATGTGTCGCATGCTTTATACCATGAGCAATTATGTGCGAAAGATGTTGTTCAACTTGCTATGCACCCACTGCATGGCCTTAAAGGCCAACTCTGGCGATTCTTCGACCATGTCAAGGTAATGGTGCTTCTATGTTCCTGAGACTGGTGGTTCTATGTTTATTTGTTCTTGTCATGAGCCCAATTGGTGAAATGCTCAGAAAACTTGAAAATAATTTTTAATAACCAAAAGGGTGCAATACCGAAGCCCAACCGGGTGCCCAGTCTATGACGTACTATTTGGCAAGAACTGCAGGCCGTGTCCTGCCAGTGCAGAGTATGAAAACTGTGAAAGCCAGACCAGCGAAGCACCAGCCAAACACCATAGAGGAAGGAAGAAAGCTTTCCCGTGTTATACCCGTGCCAAACACCGCAGCTGTCGCCTTGTGGCCAGCACAATAAATGCCATAGCGGCCAAAGTAGCGATGCCATCGGCTGCATTGATTTCATCGACATGCCAAACATGACATCACACACAGTTCTGCCAATAATTCTGGCAACTGAGCGAGCTTTTCGAGGCAGTCTTTAAAAATTCAGTTGCAAACAGTCAGCGCAACTCTCGAGCCATTAATTTGGCATGAGGGACAGGAATGTGCAAAGGAACGTACCCAATGAATTTTGTTTAGATCAATTGATCTAAAAAAAAACACCAGAGTTGGCCTGTAATAAAGTACGCACAGAAATGTGTGTGCCTTTTGTAGTGGGTGGCTGGCTTTAAACCACCAAGTCGTTATGATAATCGCATGTTCTGACGCCCATTGGCAATGTACTCTTTATTACGCAGTTTTACTGCAATATAACATGTATTTGGGAGCCTGTATACAGGACGTGTGCGTTTCTAAAGCATGAATGTTATTTTGGCTATATTTTGAAGCTGAGTAAGTTATTTTCACTGTAATTTTAAGCAGAGACATGGCTGTGTCCCCGCAAGGTTGTCTGTGCAAGCAGGCGTTTGGTGTGTAGCGACACCACGGACCAGAGCTAACAGGAGGTTTTGACCTCTTCCACGCCTAGCCGTGCGTGGGTTTGCCATGTCCGGAAAAAGGGGATCCTAGTGGTTGAGCCGACACCGTGTGATACGAACTTTAAGACCATCCGGCAGAGGCAACACACCCCTTTGGCCCTGGCTTCACGTAGAAGGCACCCCCTGTGCTGACCCACCCAGGGAAAACCGGCAGTCGCCTTTTTCTATCTCTCTCTTCCTACATGTTCGTCTTTTCTCTCTTTCAATATTTCCTACCATCTCCTCATTTCTGTTTACTTCCATCTTACAGGCGGCTAGGGTTAACCTTGTGTATGTGCCCTCTCTTGGTCACATAATATTGGGTTATAGGGGCTTTGTACAGCTGGCGCTGGCAGGCCTTTTGTAGTTGTGCTGCTGCGTCCCCATGTTGGGCTCCGTGGTGGACGGCTAGCATGGCTGCCAAATTTATGTATAGTACTTTATGGGCTGTTTTCTATTTCCCGAACTGCACGGGTTCGAATCCCGGCTGCAGCAGCTGCATTTCCGATAGAGGCGGAAATGTCGTAGGCCCGTGTGCTCAGATTTGGGTGCACGTTAAAGAACCCCAGGTGGTCAAAATTTTCGGAGCCCTCCACTACGGAGCCCTCCACTACGGCGTCTCTCATAATCATATGGTGGTTTTGGGACGTTAAACCCCACATATCAATCTATTTCCCAAACTGTCTGATCGCCCTCCCTCTGAGAGGGGGCGCACCGAAGGAAGGCTGAATGTCTTTCTAAAACCCAAAGAAATCTTCCCGCGCTTCCATGTGATTTATTGTGAAACACAGAAGAATGCAAGAACAATCTCTCCATTTTTCGTATCAAAATGCCTCACCAATGCCCTTGGTACAGGTTATCAAGCTACATGCATGGCTAGTGGCGACCTTCAAGTACAAAGCAAGGCCCAGTACGAAAATTTTCAGAGCACCTCTTTCGGAACCACACCTGTATTTGTCACACCGCACCGTTCCGTGAACATTTCCCGAGGTGTAGTGTCTGATGAAGACCTAATCGACCTGACAGAGAGTGAGCTCCTTGAGGGCTGGAACGAACAGCACCTAACGCATGTTCAAAGAATTAAGATCAGGCGTGACAACTAAGAAACGCCGACAAAGCACCTCATCCTTACATTCTGCACAATTACACTTTCAGAATACATCGAAACAGGCTACTTGAAGTTAAAGGTTTGACACTACATCCTGAACCCCCGACATTGTTGTAAGTGCCAGTATTTCGGCCACGGCGCTCAGAGCTGCCGCGGCCGTCAAACCTGTGCAAGGTGTAGTTAGCACGAACATGCTACAGACAGCTGTGCAGAAGAAACTCCCCACTGCACAAACTGCAACAGTGGACAGCCCGCTTACTTTCGCACATGTCCTACACGGAAACACAAAAAAGAAATACTTACGCTCAAAGTAAATGAAAACATCTCTTTTAGGGAGGCGTGCAAGTGTCTATCTTTGCAGGGTCCTTCACTCACGGAGGTGGCACGAAAAAGGGCAGTGCCACCAAAATTCGTGGCGCCCGCACGTACCACACGAAGTGGACTGGCGGAAGCGCCATTCAGCCTCTTAGCGGAAGTAGTACGTACTCTTCCGCCACCAAAAGGCCTGCAGGCCTCCGGACCTGAAGCCCCAGAGCCTTTTGTTGTGATAGATTGCCCTAAGACTTCCGTGCCTGCACGCGAGAACCGCAAGCGGGCATCCAGCACCTCGTTCGAGGTGATGGACACAAAAGCAAATTCAACGGTGTCTTCGGTGCCGAAGGACAGGTGTGACTCTTTGGAGCGCGCCAGAAAGTAAAAAAACCATCATCACAAAGCCTGACAAGGGCTCATGACTTATTGCAATACTTCTTTAGTACACGCAGCACTCATTTACGCTCATAATGGATACACAAATAATACAATGGAACGTCAGAGAACTGCTTAGAAACCTCCACGGTATCCAAGAACTCTTACACAAACATTCCCCAAAAGTGTTGTGTGTACAAGAGACGCACTTAAATTCCAGGAACACCTATTTTCTACTTCACTGTGTAATCAGAAAGGACCGCAATGATGTTGAAGTGTCATCTGGTGGTGTGGCCATTGTAGTTGATCAGGGCGTAGCACGTACACATTTACCACTACAAACATCCCTTGAGGCAGTGGCTGTTCGAGCAGTTCTTTTGAACAAACTTGTCACCATCTGCCCTCTTTACATACCTCCACTGTACCACCTAGAAAAACACGAATTCACGAATTCCAGTCACTGGTAGATGAACTACCGAAACCTTATGTGGTCCTTGGAGACTTGAATGGACATAATGGCCTATTGGGCGACTCTCCCTGCGATGCACGAGGTCACGTAATCTAACAGTTCCTTTTTTTTTTTTGGGTGCGTGTCTGTTGAATAGGAAAGAACCAACACACTTTAGCCTCGCCAGCAAAACCTACTCATGCATAGATCTCAGCATTGTGTTCCCATCGCTTGTACCCCTGCTTTATTGGAAAGTGATCAACAATCCTTTTGGAAGTGACCCCTTTCCTATCATTCTAAGTACACCAATAAACAAAGGTCCCCAGAGGCACTAGAGAGGGGAGTGGGTTACAATAGTTACAAACATAATATAAAACAGAGCAAAAAAAAAGGTATGAACACAACAAAACTAGGAAAATGCAATGTAGCCCTGCCGCGGTGGTCTAGTGGCTAAGGTACTCGG